CAGAAAACTTAGTTCTTATATTTATAAAAAAAATTATATTATTATACCAAACATAAATTGCTGTGTTATTAAACTTAAAAAATTATATTATTAAACAAAAAATTATATTATGTTATTTTTTCAATTTTTTATAATATTTTTCAAATTTATATTTTATTCAAAAATGAAAACATTATTGTTTTCTTAAAACCACATAAAATTGTATTCTATATGGCACGAGTACCTTTCTAGTAAATTCAAAATTAAAGACACTTGAAGAATCAAATGGTACGTAAGATAAGTTTAATATTAAAATGGTGTAAGTGAATAGTAAAGACAATCAAACTATCAATCCGTCCAAACCAAACTACAAATAACGCGATTAATTTTAACACACGAAACCATCAACCTATAAATGATTGTTACATTTCATTCATTCACTAAGGGGTTGTTTGGCAATTGCTGAATGATTTGATGCAATATGATTAAGTGGTTAGAATAATTAAGAAACTCTCATGATGTAGTGCAAAATAAAATATAACTGTTTATAATGAAATTAGAGTGCTGAATGGTTAAAGAAGACCTATGATACAAAATTATTCAGAGGGTTTTAGAACCATTAAGAGACAAAAAAAATTTTTGTCAAACAAGATTCACCTCTTAACAATTCAGATGTTAATCTTAATAGAACTATTAAGAGGTAAACAAACAACCCCTAACATAATTTGTTTAAGTATTAAAGATTGGATTTAAATGCATAACCTGTATATTAATAAGAAAGAAAATTATTCTTCAGATAAATGTATAATTTTTCATAATCTTTTAGTTCTTTTTGATTAATAATATTGAATTACTGTTATATTTATATAAAGTTTTTTTTTAACGTGTATTGTGGTAATGAAATTATAGCAATATCGTTTGGTTATATCATTAGTACTGAAAATTTCAAAACAAGAAATTTATTAAAGTTAATTCATTAAGAAGTTATATGTATATAATCTTAAAGATATGTACATGAAAATAAATGACGAAAAATGTAATTTAGAGACTAAAATATAATTTTAGGGGATCAGAACTAAAAACCAAAAAAGTTGACATAGATAAGGTATGGGGTGTTTGCAGTGCGGTTTGTGGCTAACCGCAAACCGCACTGCATATGCGGTTTGAACATTTTTCCAAACCGCAAACTACACCGCATAAACCGCAAACCACACCAAACCGCACCACAAAATGCAATGCAATATGGTTTATACAGTTTGTACCTATCGCACTTTATGCCTACAATTCACTCATTATAAGTTTAAAAGTACAGTATAAATCAACGATAAAGTGACCGTAGTCCATAAAAAATAAATAGTTTCAATACATACGATTTTCAAATACATATTGCATAATTGGAAATAGTCTAAGAAGTAAAAAATAAACTTCAAACTAAATTGGACGTGTGAATCATGACGTGTACAACTAATTTATTAATATTGCCAATTGTCATATAGAATTAAACTCAAAGTCCAAAACACAAAGTGTAAAAATATTACATAAAGAATAAGTTATTATATATATATATATATATATATATATATATATGCATGTGTGTGTGATAAATAAACCTAAAAGATGTACAAAATATGCGATGCAATGCGGTTTGGACCGTGATTTGATAATTCAAAATTGCAAGCTGCATTACATAGTGCGGTTTGGTAAAATTGCAAGGTGCGGTGCGGTGCGATATATACAATTTGGTAGTTTGGATGAACACCCCTAAGATAATGAACCAAAACCAAAATAGTTGATGTAAATACGATACAAAAAATGCAATTCACTCAAAGAAAAATAAGACATTATAGAATGAATTGAATTTTTGGACGATGTCTATTGGAGGATCAATTTGGGCTCTAAGGGATTGTTTGAAAATTGATGAATGATTTGGTGCAAAATGTTTAAGTGGTCAAAATGATTAAAAGACTCTCATGATATAGTACAAAATGAAATATAATGTTTGATAATTGTAAAAGTCAGCACCACTATCAATCATGGCCAATAAATCTTTTTTAAAATGACCATCTATAAGAAGGGTAATTTGAGTAAACTATTTTTGAGATATCATCCTACTAATGGTAGATAAAGTCGCATTGTCACAAAGAGATGAAGTAGAAGGATCAGGAATATGATCAGAAGAGGAAGAAGGATTCTCCGAAGGAATATTGTAAGAAGTATTTCTATTTAATAAATCATAATTTTCGGAAATAACAGAGATATGCTTATGAAGTAAAATATTATCATCCTTCAAAGCGTTGATTTCATTTTTTAAAATGTTGACTTCTCTGTTAAGATCAGAAACAGAAATATCTTTAGAGTGAAAATGTTTGTTTTGAAGAAGACGATTGACTTCCTTCATGGAATAATTAATATTATTGATAGGAGTAGGAGAAGGATGACTAGGGGAACTTTGTTTATCAAATTCTAGATTATCTAAAATTTCAGAACAAATAAGAGGATCTTTGATTTTCTTTAAAATTTTTAAAATATTTTCTTCAGTTAAGACATTAATATTAAGATCCTGGAATTGAGAAAGGAGTTTATAAAACTCATCATGTTGTCTTGAGAAGTGTTATTTTGAATAACATTTAGACAATTTTTAGCACAAGGCTGTCCAATAGCACAATCGTCACAAGGAGAAAATTCAGAATCTTCGGAGCTAGAGGGTAAAAAAGAATCGTTCTCATCATTATCATCACTAGAAGTGATACTAGAATCAAAATCATCATCCGAATTTTTGAAATTCAAAAAGATGTTTAAAAGAGAATCTTTCGTAGTTTGATCAATATTCAAATTATTAATCTTTTTCTTAGTCCAACAATTTGCTGACGAATGGCCCAGCTTTCCACAATTTTGACAAATAATTTTATTTTTCTTAAAACCCTGGGAATTTTTATAATGCTTCTTGGGTTTAGGAAAATCATTTGATTTTTTAGAGTCTTCAGCTCTATTGGATTTTTGTAAATCTTTATCGAAAGATTTTCGTTTAAAACGTTTTTTATAATGGCGATAAGTAGAATCTTTATCGCGAGTTTTGTGAAACTTTCTTTTAGGTTTCTTGTAAGGAACCTCCATCCCAAATTGATCACAAAAATCTCCAAGTTGCTTTCTTTCAAGCAGATTCTGCTTCCTGATTTGATGTTTTAATTTCAAATCGTTGCATAAAGAAAGGCCTTCTGCAACACAGGTACTGATTAATTGACCATAAGTATAATCATCATAATGAACAGATATATTTTCTTTCTTCAGAATCTTACGAATTCTTTCAGCGAAAAGATGTGGAAGGCCATCAATAAACTTAGCTTTCCAATGACTATTATTACAGTCTTTAAGCTCAAAGATACGAGAAAGAAAAGTATCTTTATACCATCTAAATTCAGTTAAAGTCTTACATCGAAGATTACTAATCAAGGTTCTAATATTTTCACAATTATCAGAGAACCTACCAGTGAAATGCTCTATAAGAGTTAGAATCAGAGGATAAACAACATTTGTTGTTTCATGACCATCTCCAGTCTTAACAGAATTAAGAATTTGGTCTTTTTATTCAAGAGGAATATAATTATCCCACCAACCTTTTAGTTGGCCAGTAAAACATGCGATTATCATTTTGGCAATATTTTTATCAGTATTACCCGTGTTCTTACAAACAGTGCTATACATGAGCATGCGATGAGCCATATTATAAATATGCTTGTTAGTGAAACCATCAAGACTCCACTCATAAATACACTTACCATTATAACTGTTGTTAATAATGTACTCTTGTTCTTCATGAAGAACATCCATTGGAGTAGGACGAGTATAATAATATTTATTGAGGTTTGGAGTTTTAGCCCATTTCATTTTATGAATTTGGCCAGTATCCTGAGTATGATCAGATCCTTCAGAATGGGTATCCTTGTTRAGCATGGAAATTGAAGGTTTAGAAATATGAAGATGGGAAAGCTTTAAATCAAGCTGTTCCATAAAATCTTCAGCCTGAGATTTGAGTTTAAAATTTTTTATTTCAGGAGGGGGTTGAATTGTATTAGAAGTCAAAATAACTTTCTCAGAAGTAGAGGGAATATCAATCTGCTTCTGATTTTCTTCAATTTTGGAAATCTTTTGAAGAATAATAGAAATGTTATCYTCTAAAGAAAAGAGTTGTTCGCCAACAATTTTTAGCAAAAGATTAGAATAGTTCTGCTTTTCAAGTAATTCGTTAATATGTAACGAAGTAATAGAAAGAGTATTATCTTTTATTAAATTGGAAAAAACAGAGAATTTAAAGAGAGAATTATTTTTCTTCATAAGAAAAGGAGATTGAGGAGGATAAATAGTAGATTGAATTTCTCCATTAAGAAGCTGATAATCCCTTTGAAGAACATTTATAAGATGTTTAACATGAGTATGAAAAAACCAAGGGATAAAAGAGAAGATCTCATTTTCGTTTTTGCAAAATTCATAAAACTCATTAGAGAAATTAGAGATTTATTCTTTGGAAAAGTTCTCAATATACCAAGCTCTAAAAGGAGCCCATTTCTGATTACCATAATAATCTTTGCAGACAACTTGTCTGGCAGGAGATCCATGAGTGAAATCTATTTTTCCCTCTTGATAATTGTTTACAATGAAATTATGACACTTAATGGTTAAGGGAGACCCATGATACAAAATAATTCAAAGAGTTTTAGAACCATTAAGAGACAATTTTTTTTTTGCCAAACAAAATTCAACTTTTAATGATTCAAAGACTGACTTTTAATAAAACTATTAAAAGATAAACAAACAACTTCTAAAATACAATATTTAGACCAATGATAACGAAAACCAAAAAAGTAAATATTTATGAGGGACAAAAGTGTAATTCACTCTGAAATTATACTTTGCGGCGATCCCCGATTGGCGGGTCGACCCGACGCTCTGGATTTGCCCGTTGGGTCACAGTCGACTTTTCCATTCAAGCGGATACAATCGAGTCCGTCTGCCAGTCAACTGCTGAAATCAAAGAGGAGCGAAGAATAGAAAGGGCTTCAAATTTCATGTCCATGGCAGCCTAGGGTTTATTGATTGATTTACGCCCATAATATATCTTGACCGCAGCCGTGTTCTGCCATGACTTCCACCGCCACAGGGCTCCTGTTTTCTCTTCTATGTTTACTCGCCAGTCTTCACGTTTCATTCTCTGGTCAGTTCATTTTTATTTCTTATTTCAGGTTCTAACTAGTAGCTAACACATGCTTTAAAGAAAGGGCATGCAGTCTGATATTTATTGCGGATGTTGTTGCATTTAACGTTTTATCTTTGTTCGATTTCTAGTACTTGGTTGTGAAGTTTAATGTAACCGATCATTTATGGTCGTAGATTTGTACCTTTCTGTATAAATTTGGTTGCTATTTAGAATAACTTGTATGAAATTCTGCTAATGGAGGTAAAATGTGGCTGTGGGTGCCGTTTTCTCTATCCTATTGCACATCAAGAGTCTAGTTTATGAACTCTAATTGGGGGAGGCTGATAGTACAGAATTGGCATCTGAAGTTGAAGGGAAATTTCAATGAATGTTTGTGTCGGAAATTAAGCAATCCCTGCTACAGTGCAATATAAATGGCTTTACTTGTAACATTTTCGTTTTTGGAAAATGCTATTCATCACGAAAAGAAATTATGATTCATGTTGTACATGATAACTCCTTTTTTCTGTTTATGAAATTTAACATGGGAGGGAGGGAGGTCGTATACAATAACTCCTTATCCAAGCTTTGAGGAGGGAATGCAATACAGGATCATGAAATTGTCCTGATGCTAGATTTTGTAACAGAGACCTCTTTTTTGGGACAAATGAAAATTGTAACCTGGATCTCTTTTTTCAAATGGACGGAGAATGTTATATGTAGCAGATGATGGTTGGCCTCAAATCACAAAGGTCAAGTTTGATTAATTTTGGATATTGACAAGTGATTCAGGCATTTAACTTCTTATGTGCTAATTTCGGATCATACACATTCTTGGGCTTCTACATGTTTGAAAGGAAGTTTTATACATTCTTTTTGGTAAATGAGGCATATATATCAATCATATGCACTGCTATTTTGTAAAATTATGTAAGCAAAGTAAGTTAGCTCTAGTTCGGGAGTGTTTGGGAGCATGGGATAATCTTCTTAGGACACTGGTAAACATCCACAAGTTTTTTCAACCATCAGCATATTCTTTAGAAAATTGCATCTTAATTCAAAGTGATGTATCTTCTTCACCATTCAAGTATCTAACTAATCTGAGTGGCACCACTCCTAATACACTTCTATGAGTTATATGCATAATTCTTTCTCTATATACACAACATTATTTTTTATACCCAGTTTAGATTACTGCATTTCAGCTAAACTTTTTCTTAATCAGCTTCAGAACAGTTGGCATTCGAGTCGGTTCCTGACCTAGAGAAATCCATGTACATGGTCCTGGATGGATATCCTTGTGTACGATTACTCAATCTTTCTGGGGAAATCGGCTGTGCTAGTAAGTATATGGTTTACATCTCTGACAGAATCAAAGTTGTAGTTAGCTGTTTTATGATTTCACTCACCTATTTTCCGATGGCATTCTTTGATCTTAGATCCTGGCCTTGATAAAGTTGTAGCTCCTATTGTTAGATTCAAGAATGGCATAGAATTGGTTCGTTCAACAACAATACTAGTGCCATTGTATGATTTTGACAGATTACTTTCAAGGTATACAATAATCGTAGGTTTTTATACAGTGACTATATACTTTTTCAGCCTTCATTCATATATACTTATATATAATACATACCTCTGATGACCTTGATCATGGATAGACGATTTATGAATGTAGCTGATTGGCATTTCTTATAAAATAGATTTGTGATTCATTGCCTTTTGTGTTTGCGCTTAACTGACCATGCCTCACTTTTCTAGATTTTTAATTATTTCATCTGTTTAGCCATTAATGTTCTATGTTAAAAAATCAATATACAAGACATACCTGTATAACATGAAGGACTTGTCCAAAGATCAATATAGAAAACATGTGTGGTTTCCAGAGTCTCACCTACTGTAGCCCTGGTGAGATCAACCCCTTCTTTGAGAACCCACTGATGTTGCACTTTTAACTGTTTGTGCGTATTTTCTGTACTGTTCCTGATATCTTAACTCTCTCGTGTTTGCTATCAATGCATACTGTTGCTGACATCTTTACTCTTCTGTTCCAGAGTATCAAGTGATTCAAACTTTGCTAGAAACGTAGCTGGTGTATTAGTTGAATCAGGAACTCAAAATCAAACCCATTTAACTGGTAATTGAAATGGTAGTTTAGCTACTGCTTGCTTACCTTAATATGGCCAGAGAAGAGGAATTGAGGGAAAGCTTTTGCAATGTCGTTGCTTACCCCTTGCAGGATCATCTCCCGACAAGAAGTTTCCTCAAGCTGAATTTGCTCCTTACGAGAACAACAAATTTGAGTGGAATCCAACTGTATGTTATATCTACTATTTTTTCATTTTGCATTTCATATCTTTACTATGCAGAGTGCAATGATTTGTATACTACATTATACACCATCTCAGCATATGCATACCCATATTACGTTTATATTTATTAGTTCTGTATTTCAGTTTCCTTGTGATATACGTCAAAAAAAATGTCTATAGGTTGGATGTTGTATCAGGAAAAAGTGTTAAATATTTACATTTATTTGGTTACAGATATAGTAATGTTGTATTGTGTTTTATGCTGCCTGACAATGAGTCATATCTCCAACATGATTAATTTTTTTTCCAGTAAACAAGATATATTCCTAAATGAGCATAGGAGAGACATCGAATAGGTCCAAGATCCATAAATCCCTAGGATAGGCTCATCTTTTTGTGTTATTACATGATCAGCATTTTGTATTGTGGATAAACGACAATGACAAGTGATGAATGCTGGTGTCATAGGACCTACATTTATATTCCATTTAAAATTACTAACATGTAGTCCCTTGCCATGTGCAGGGATCTGGTAGTATGTGGAGGCGTTATGATTTTCCTGTATTCTTGCTGTCTGAAAGCAGCACACAAACGCTGCAGGAGGTAATCTAGTGCTTTTGAGATGTACTAATTCCTTGGTATAATGTTATATTTGTTTTCCTTAATGCCAAAGTAAGTTTATGCATAGTTAAAAAATAATGGGTATGTTATCATGACAATTAATGAGGACATTTGCTGTGTTAGTCATTTGGGTTATGAATACTTAATGCAATATAATTGAATGAACTAAACAAGGCCATATAGTGGGGCATTTTTTTAATGATAGGTTATACTGAAATAAAACGAGCATGCAATATTATTTGGAGATAAAAATGAAGATACAATGAAACAAGTTTCAATACCTTGAAACTGTTGACCAAATTCTTGACTAGCTCAATTAGGAACAGAAAATAAATATAGACAAATAATAAGGCTTTATCTGCCATCATCTCAAACCGAACATATCTAAGAAGCTGTAGGAAGAAGTTATATATGTCGAATTTCTGAGGCGATGGCCAAGTCTCAATCAATGCTATTAACAAAGTTGTTAGCATCACTGCATTATGTGGGGTTGAAGTGCTCCACAATGGGACAGATCCAAATCATGGTGTGTATGCTTTCAAACTATCGTCTGTGTATGCAATTATAGCTTTTGAAGGTCATCTTTACGAAATTGAAAAGTTGCCATATTTGCCTAAAAGTCATCTTATGGAAAATTTTGATTTGGTTGATGAACTTGTGGATTTGAAGAAATCGGATGCCATTCATAGTGGGCTAGAGAGGTGGGGGTGGGCTAACAAATAGGTTAGTAATGCCCTAGATAGCTAGATAGATGACTTTTTGCTCGGTAGTTAGGAGAGCATCATCTCAGGCTTTTCAAAATCTTCAAAGCCTTAAAAATAATTATTTCCAGATCTGTCCATAACTTTGTCACAGGCTGAGGGTCTTCATGGAAACAACAAACAACTTCTCTACTCCTAAGGGTAGAGGAAAGGTTGTGTATGTCCTACCCTCATTAGGCCCTACTTCCAAGTGGGATAGATGGGGTATGTTTGATTTGGTTTGATTTATATGTTGTTTACAAGAAAATAGATTGCTTCTTTTATTCTATTTCTTTGATTCTTCCTGCCTTTTCATTATTCATTTAGTACATATAGGGAAAGCAGGTTTATGAAGCTTCAACTCCTTTTTGTCACACAACAAACATTTTCTTCTCATATGACTTATGACTATCTTGCTCCATCATATCTAGTCATGTAGTATCCAAGTGATGCTTTTGCTTCCTCGGTTCATAAAGAAGATATGTGCTCATATAACTTCAAATTAGCCTTGTTTTCATATCCTTAGTGATCTTGAAAATGGGTACTGAGGTGGAACAGGAAGATGAGTAATGTGCATACTCACCTACAAGCGCATGCAATATCTGATAAACACACATGAGAAAAGGGTGGATGTACCTATTCACCTTATAAAGTTTGCTAAAATGATTAAACTCTAGTTGTAGGCTCCAGAGGTGCCTCCTTTCCAAAAAAGTTCTTTCTCAAATTTGAAATTGCACATGAGAACTACTTCTGTACTTGCAGATTGCTGTTAAAAATGAAAATAAGAAGGAAACATATGCTGCAGATGTGACTGAATTTGATCTAGTGATGCAGGTAAAAGCTTTTGCATTTTGTGTCTTGAAAATCTTTATGTCTGCCATCATGCTTTTTTAACTAATGGATATGGATCTGTGTATCCTTTTTTCTTTTTTATGTATATACCTATAAACTTGATTCCAAATGTACTGTAGACAACTAAAGCAGGAACTCATGATTCCGAATCATGTCTGAGAGAAGGAACGTGTCTCCCGTTGGGTGGATATAGGTGAGCCATGATATATATATAATTTAAATATCTTCAGCTTATATTTAAAAACGTTAGCTGGCTTACCATGTTGCAACTTACATTTGCATTAGCAGGACTAGTAGAAGTTAACCGTTTTGGTTTCAATTTGTTGCAAATTCAATTGTAGGCGTAAGGTTGCGTGAGAACATTTTGATTTTGCATGTGAATTGGTACAAGCGCAAAGGTTATTCGATAATAATGAGAATTCTTAAGAATGAACTGTAAAAAGTAGGGATTAGTGTGGTATTGGTATTTGTTGAAACAAGAGTATGCAATATTGGTTAGACAATTCAGTATGAAATTCACAAAATTACAACATCTAAAGATGTTTTGTGTAACTATTTGTCTTTGACTCGGGCTAGTGAGTCATTGAGGAGGAACTCTAACACTGTCAGGCTTACTTTGTTGTAGTCTTATGGTTCACAATTTGGCGTTTTTTGACCATATTTTTCTATCCATGTAAATTGAATATGAAGGGCAGTGTTTGGTCAGCCCTTCCAACAACAAATGTTTCAGCCTCAAGCAGGGAAAAGCCTGTAGTATTGACTGTGGCATCTATGGATTCTGCTTCATTTTTCCGTGACAAGAGCCTAGGTGCAGATTCTCCCATATCTGTAAGTTAACGTGTTGCACACTAATTTCAAATGCTGTTTCCATTTGTTCATTTACTTATATTTACATTATCTTTTAGGGAATGATATCACTGCTTGCAGCAGTGGATGCTCTTTCACGTATTGAGGATTTAGATACCCTTGCTAAGCAGGTTTGTATGTGCTTGCTATTTACATCAGTGTTGCTGGTATTAATGTTTTTTCTTCCTTGTTGGGGGTGGGGAGGGACTGGGAAGGGTCTATTAGGCTGGTGGATGAGCGTCCTATTGAGTTTATATATGAATATTTGTGTGCTCTTCTAGTTACCTTAATACTCCAGGTGTTTACTATAGTCTTATAAGGGCACATATGCACTGTAACAAATGCACCTCTTACACACGCAAACCTCCATCTTAATATGCATTTATCTCTTCAAGTAGGTGCAGAAGGCTTCTTAAAAGGAATTGTGTATTCTTGTTAGTTGTTAGTTCCATTGCTATCTCTTAATTATGACATTCTTTATTGGATGCCATCCAAAACTAATGGGTTTATCTTTGTTATCATACTTATATGTGCTTTGAGCAATAATGCGGGCTATTATTTGTCTATGTTCTTTGATTTTGCATTATTTTTTTCTTCCTTCCATTCTTTGTATTATATCTACTGCAAAATATGTCTCCCTCTTGCGTAAGCTAAAGCTTTTCTTATCCTTTTTTAGTTAGAGCATCTTCAACCCGCTCCCTACATCCACGCTTTAACTATTGTAGGGAGCCAAAACCAAAAAACCATTACTCCAATCACTCCCCACAACTCACTCCCTACCCTAATTTACATTATCTCACTCACTTATATCTACATTATTTTTTTCATTATTTATTTTATTAATAATTAGAAAAGGTATTAGTAATTTCAAAAAGTAAAAAAAGTTATTAAAATAATGTATACCTATTAAAGTAGAGAGCATGGTTGGAATAACAATCTTAAAAACCACTCCCTACACTAATTTCTATGCAAATAACTCTACATATATTTAAATGTTTGATCGTTTGCTTCTGTCCAAAGCTGCCCCATAGTTGCTTTACCTTGCATGGTTTCTGCTTCATATTCTTTGTTAATCATTGTTCCGTTTCTTTCATGTTTAAGTCTTCTCCTTTAAGATGCCTAGTTTCTTGCTTTAATAATTGGAGATATGACTTTGTTTTTGGTTACATTTATACTTCGGTCTTGAGATAGAGCTCCTAAGAAGGTTTTGCAAAAGTAGCAGCTTTGCTACTAGATTCATACTACACTTGCCAGTCTTTGATGCATGGCATGGCTGCTAATAATATTCCTCATCTAAAACGAGCAGCTACCCATTTTTTTCTGTATATGAAAAGATGCTGGGCATAATAATAGTGCTACCAATCAGAGGGATTCATCCCTTGGAAAGCATGCATATATTCTAAGTGTAGCAGTATTCATAATATTGTTTCACAGTTGTTAACCGTGGGACTGGTTATTTGTTTAATCTTGACCACATTTATAACTTGTTTCCTGAGGCTTTTCTTATCCACGCGTTTTGAACTTCTCTTGTTTTCTATGCAATAATGCAGCTCGTTTTTGTTGTTTTTACTGGAGAAGCTTGGGGCTACCTTGGTAGTCGGAGATTTCTTCTTGAACTTGATCAACACACGGATGCTGTTCATGGGATTAACAACACATTGATTGAAACGGTATTCTCTTGCTGGAGCTGATATTTTTTATTTTCCTGTCTCCTTTTCTCTATTTGTTGAAAGCCACATTAAATGCTAAATAGGACGGACTAATAGCCTGTTCGTCATGCTGATGCACTGTTTTGCCACAATTCTTGAACTGAATGTAGACAAAGAACTAATGGTTTATAACAGTCCTGGAGGCCAAAAACTTATAGCTAAAACAATCGTTGATATTTTAGTTTATTTTCTTGAATGTTCTCATGCTATGTTAGTGCAGTAGCTATTAAAGTTTTTCATTGTTCTGATGAAAGGAAATTTGTTGACTATGATTCTACTACTAAGCTCTAGCCATTATCTATGATATCTTTTCCTTTTCTGATTGATTTCTTTCAATGGATGCTTTTGCCTTTGCCTCCTTGAGACTGTTGAATGCTCATCCATAAGGTGGAAGCTTTTTCAATTGTTGAGATGTGTAAAAATAGGAACCACTAATGTTGGATAAATTGAAACAGGTTATAGAGGTTGGATCTGTTGGGAAGGGCTATGATCAGGGTGTCAAGACCTTCTATGCTCATACGACTGGGGTATGAAATTTTGTTCTCGCCAATACCATATGGTGCCTAGAATTATGCAGATTTGCTTCAATTATGGTAAAAATGTGTTTGCTTATTTCACTTTATTCATCGGTGGACCATAGAACATATGCACATCTAGATTGTTAGCTTTGTACAGCTTGTATCTGTCCTGAAAAGTTTACAAACACACAAGTGTTTAGGGGTGGTTTGGCTGTGGCTTAATGGGCGGAATGGACTGTATGTCTTATACGGCAAATCATACAGGTTTGTTCGGTTGTGGCTTAATAGTTCAACCAAGGACTTGCTCGGTCAGCCATATTAGAGGGGTTTGTACATTCATCCCTATTTTATTCAATATATACCCTTGTAACATAATACGCTTCAGCCTCCACAACAAAAAAAACACTTTCACCTGCGATCTGTTCCTGCCGTCGCTGTCCGGCGGTCATGCAGTGGCCTACCCTCGTTGCCGTCATTTGTTTTTTCAGTAATTCTCTATTTCTGTGTTATGTTTTGTTCCAACGATTAGTTATTGCCATTTTCATCATGGAAAAGATTGATTGAGAGGGTTTGTAATGTTAAAATCGCGATATATCTCCGATATATCGGATATCGGACTCTGGAAAAATATCGGTGGTGAAATATCGGTCAAAATATCGTTCTGATAATATCGCTGATATTTACCGATATTTCACCGATATTTTGATGGAAAAATCGGCCCGATATATCGATTTTCTATAAGACAAATGTTTGGGCTTTTTTTATTACATGTCGGGCTTAGTTTTTTGGGCCTCTTTATTTGGTCAACCAGTCAACACATATATTAAGTCTCACGCTTCTTCTCTTCTCGGTTCTTAACAGTTCATGCTTCTTCTCTTCTCGGTTCTTTCACAGTTCACGCTTATTGTTTGCGATTAGCTCGTTTATGAACACTTTTCCTATTTTGTTTTGTGAGACTTGTTTATGAGATGTTTTAGTTTTGGAAATATATTTCTAAACTCTAATTAATGCATATGATATGTTTATGGATGCTTACATATAATATATATATACATATAATACATATAAATTTATAATATATATATACATATAATATATATATATATATATATATATATAATTCTAAGAAATATTATATTAACCGCTATTTTGGACCGATATATCTCCCATATATCATCGATATAACCGAAATATCTAATATCGGTCCTGACCGATATTTTGTATTTTGACCGCATTAACAGCATAGATTCTTGTGATACATCTGTCTGAAGCAATGCAAAGATGGCTATGCTATTTACCATTCAAGTATGTATGAACTGAAGGATCTCAAGTTTTAGCAAACCAAACTAATTCTGCTTCGACAGTTTGCTGTCCCAAAATAAGTGTCCAGATTTCTATTTTAGTTTGTCACAAATATGCCTCCACTTTCAAAAGTGTCTTCTTTCCAATTTTATCTGTAGTATTGAGATGGAGGAATTACAATCTCTATTATTAAGGGTAAAATTGTCATTTAGCTGATTGAAGGTGTAATATTTACATATTTCTAGAACTGTGTGCCTTTTTCATTGTCAGCATCTATTTTGGGGTGGAGGGAGTATTAAGTTGCACTGTGCTATCTTTTTCTCTGTTTAATGCATGTTAAAAATAGGAAAAGTATGTATAAGCAATAGAAAGCATATACAGATGAAGCTTATGTATGTTTCTTTTTTCGAGTTGGGGATACGAGGATTGGTTCTTTGATATTAGGGTCTTATTAGAGTAATCTTAAACTTGTATGCTTTTATTATTGCATTACAGGTATCATCTGCCACAAATGAAACACTGAAGGCTTTACAACAAGCTCGAGACTCACTTGGAACTGAAAGCATTAAGTACTCTACAGCAAGTAAATCTAATCCTGGAATTCCTCCATCTTCCTTCATGTCATTTTCAAGACAGGTTTGGATAAGCATACTAATGATAGCTTTTCTCGTGTAAACTAACAAATATCATGAAGGTATTGAATGGCCAACATTTTTGTGTTACCTGCTGAAGAAAATAACAAACAGAATACTCCCTTCGTCCCAAAATAAGTGTGCACATTTCTGTAATAATTTGTCCCAAAATAAGTTTGCATTTTCAAAACTAAGTTCCTACTTTCCAATTCTACCCTTAATATGAGATGGAGAATTCATTACTTCCTCTATTATTAAGGGTAAATTTGTCATTTAGTTGATAAAAAGTGTAAGAATTGCACTTCTCTAAAATAATGAGCCCTTTTCATGGTGGACATTTAATTTGAAATGGAGGAAGTATTAGCGATGTACAATCTTTGAGAAGGATTTTGACAGTGAACCTTTACAAATATTACATTGCTATGATATTTTTTTTGCCTATATAATGCCCACATCACTAAGGTGTAGAATGGCCAATATAAACTACCCATCCTGAAAAGGAGGCCATTATGGTTACAGACCATTTGAGCATCTCCATCAGATCCTCTATGATTTCTTCAAAATAGAGAATCAAAAGTTAAAATCTCTAACAAAAATTACACTTAACTCTAACAGATTCTCTACTTTGGAGGTTTCGACATCAATTATATTATCAAAATATTCTATAAGTTTTATCATCCCAACACTTAACTTCATATAAAGTAATAATACATTCAATCTCATTGGTTGGAAGAATCAAAAAATCATTTCTTTTCGCCTCACATTAAATTTTAGAGAATTCTCTAAATTTAGAGAAAATTTTATCTTCTCTCGTTGGAGCACAAATATCACCAAATCCCCATTTTCTCTATTTTAGAGAATCTGTTGGAGATGCTCTTAAAATTGCCTATGGAGTTAAAGTTGAGAATAGGCCTATGTTCTTACTTTGTTTGCCTTAACAGAACCCTCATGCCGCTGGTGTTGTATTGGAGGACTTTGATTCTGCTTTCACAAACAAATTTTACCATAGTCATCTAGATGATATTTGTGAGTTGCTCGGATTTCTTAGACTTTGTATCTTTCACACGTCTGTTTCTACTGATCTCTTTAGTATCTAATCGTTTTTCATTCCATTTTTTTGTAGCTAATATCAATTCTTCAGCGATAGTGGCAGCTGCTTCTCTTGTTGCCCGTACACTTTACATTCTTGCCAGCGATAATAAGGATCTGAGTTCTTCATCCTTAAATGCAGTCAATGTAAATACCTCTCTGGTCGACGAACTTTTGGGTTGTTTACTTAGTTGTGAACCAGGTCTGTCATGTGAGCTGGTGAAGCGTTATATTACGCCCTCCTCTACCTGCCCAAGCCATTATGTTGGTGTTATTCAAGGGGATCCTTCTTTAGAACCTTTCCTTGGTTATGTGGGAGATGTTCCAAGATTTGTGTGGAATTTTATGGCTGACAGAACATCTACCCCATTGAAGGATGTCAGTCCTTGCTCTGAAAACTGCAGCATGAGTGGTGGAGTATGCATCAAACAAGAGATAGATGGGAAAGGAATCTGTGTTACCTCCACAACCAGGTATCTTGCATATTTCTAATAATGTGTTCAGAAGTATATAAAAATGTTCCAAATAAATATGGCATTTGGTGACTAAAAGTATATGCATGACCTATCTACAATTCTGACAAAATATCCTTGCCTCTCTGCCCCATATGGTTGCTTGTCTGCTTGAGTTTAGAATTGAAAGCAATGTTCTTTGCGGTTCTTACCATCCTGCAAAAAAGATCATCTGAGTTTTAACCTTGTGTTAACTTGCATAAAGTTGACTGAAACTAACATCTAATGATTAACTTCTTATCTTGATGGCAAACCACTTGAAGTTGGCGCTAGAAATTACTTGGGATCGTGTTCTAAAACTGTTTACATTCTTTTGGACTTGGGATGCTTGGCTAATTAGATGCTATTCTTCTCTCTTGCATGTAGTCTTTCCTGATTGAAACTAGGGATGTGCCTCAACGTAATCCATATATTTAGTGGAAGGACTGATAAGCATTTTGGACCATTGTGCACTTGTTTTTGAACAATGGATTGCAAGAATGTGAATATGCAACAAAGAAGTAAATAGTGAAACGATTCTATTCTATATTTCTACCAATTGGAGTGATCTTTTTGGCATTTTGCAAAGGTTATTTAGAAATGAAGTACCAAATATAATGGTTTGAAAATTGAAAATGGTAATCACTAGTAAAACGAAACATAGATCAAGCCTTAAAAGGATGTTTAGTACTCAACAATAATATATAGGCTTAAACCTAGGAATCAATTTTCAGTTTATGGTTTTATTTTGAACAAGCATTTAAGACTTCCATTAGGATAGTTGATTATAAAGTAGGTGTGTTGTTGGGGGGGAGGGATGGGAGGCGGGTGGG